AAAAAATACCCACTCTAAAAAAACCGCGTCGGTTATTAGGATTTCTTGTCTTTTCTCCCCGGGAGGGTAATTTCCCCCCCCCCCCCCCTTCCTTACAACTTTTTCTGGCTTCGCTACTATTTCGATGCGTAAAAATCAAGAATTTTGTGTAGATTTTTATTGATGTATTCTTTTCTAAATAAGCATTTAAGTCAACGAATGCAGAATATCAAGCTCTACAACTTTAAAAGTGCTGATCTCTTTTTCAATCAAAGGAGAAAGCTGAAAAGATGACTATTTAAAAAAGAACATATTCATAAAATCTACATAAAAGTTCTTCATATTTTAGCATCAGAACCAAACTTTATGATCTAATCTAACTCGAGAAATATGTCTAACAAAAAACTAGTAATTTAGCCTGTCCCATCCATTATAAATAAAGTGACTATTAAAACTGTTCAAGAAAATTTCTTGTCAATTTTTTCCCTATGCTTTAAACGCTGAAATGAATCTGAATAGAAAAAATTATCTACCACAAGAATGTATAAACAGAAAATTCATAAGAAAATTTCTCAAGACGAGATCTCCTGAAAACCTAGACCCTAGTTTTTCAACATCTAAAATATGAGACTATGATTGATTTTATTTAAACCATATAGAACGATAGAGCAAACAATACTACAAAATGAGTTTATTTTGTATGAAAAACCATTTTTGACTCTTCAATCAAATTGTAATACCTCAGCTAAAAAGCATCATGAAGAACTTGCAGACATCTCACTTTTTAGAGCGTTGTTTGCTCTACCTTGTCTCTGGAAACTTGCTAGCTATCATTCTTTTCGTATATTCTTGTTGTGAACAATATTCTATATTCGAAGTACTATTCAGATACTTTTTAGCGTTTGAGAAGAGTGACAAAAATTGAAAGTAAAATTTGTTGAATAATTTTAGTTGACACTAAAATATATTTTTCTAGAATAAACAACTTTATTTACCAATTGATTGGCAATATTTTTCAAATGATAAAATTCAAAATCATATGAATGATCTTATTCAATCACCTTATACATGTTATTGGCATTTTGAAAGAATAGTTAATACTTTACGCATACATTTATGTGTTATATCAAAATATGATAAACTTTTTAAATTAGAATTTTTATTTCCATCATCAAATGGTATTCGATTTTTAAATTCAAATAAAATAATATTTAATGACGTAAGAATTTCTGAATTTTATATGTTTATTAAGGTAAATATTTTAAATTTTAGATTGAACTAGGAAAGTATTTAATGGCTGAACGTATTCTAATGTTTTCACAAGAAAATAATTCTGATGTACTTGTTGTTGATGTTAATGTTAATAATATAACATGGAAAAAACTTACTTTAATATTTTAAAATTAACTAATTTAAATCATAACTAGAAATAATCTTACTGATTTTTATGCGTTTATTATAAAAAAAAAAAAGAATGTTTTGAAAGTAATGATTGTTTATTTTTTTTAATGTCTTTTATAGAGTTTTTTTTTAAATTAATTTTAAAACAAAGTTTTTCAGTTAATATTATTGATAAATTACTTCGATAATTAGTTTTCTTTTTGTTTTCCATTTGTAGATTCGATCAAATATTGATGCATGTATTTCCTACAAAAAAAAGGCAATACATGATAGATATGAATATAATTGCTATTGTGAATATACAATAAAGATCTTTTCTTTCGATTAAAACAATACAGTTTTATAGCAAATTATCTAATCGTTTTTGTTTTGTATCATCAATCGACCAATAAAAGATTTCCTCGAGTTTAATTCTGAAACAAAAAAAAACTTTTTTCCATGAAATTGAAGAGCAAAACTTTTGTGAATTATTTGAAATTGAATGCTAGGTTTAACCAACTACAAAAAGAAGAAAGTTCAATCAGGATTTCTTATTCAATATACTATGTCGGCTGTTTCAGTTTCGAATTGATCGAGATGTCAAATTCAGCGAAAAAAAAAACAACTTTCTATTTTATAAAAATTAGAACGATGAATGTATTGCACATTTATTCATATAAACCACAAGGATGTATCAAGTCATTTTTCAGCTCTCATAGATTTCAGATATTTGTTTTGCAACTGTGTCAAAATCCAGATAGAAGACATCACGGTTCTTGGACATCTAGGATATTTTCCAGAGGTTTGAGAAGAATATTTTTTATACATTTCAATCACAGCATACTTAGGTATATCAATTTGAGTATGCTGGTCACGAGTACGATATTTAGAACGAATTGAACTGTATTCCATGTGGGGTACAGTGAGCTCAATGCAATGACGCCTTGAGCTCTCCCGATGGGCTTTGCTACCTTTGGGCTTAAGCTTAAATGAATCAAGCTGAAAAAGTAGCTTTTTTTTACTCAAAATTGAGAGTTTCCTCCGAACCAAAGCAAACAAAAGCTAGCCAAACCCATATCAAGTGAGCGATTCTGTGAGAAAGTTTGTGATAGAACTAACTTTTTGA